CGCGTTGTTTCTGAACAGGAGTATACCTCGTCGTACCGCCACTATCCTCAACACTGGGACATGGCGGACGCCGACCACCCCGGATACGTCTTATATCATTTCAACCGGAAAACGCAGCAAAGTCCACTGATTTCCATTTACAGACTGGCCATTTATATGACAAGGCCCGAAGATTCAGGACTCTTTTACTGTATAGATCCGTATGGTAGAAGACACGCTGTCAAACTCATCGTTAAAGGTATGATATTGAACGAAAGTGGAATATTTCGATCGGTGCGAGAGAGTGTGCGTTTTCCGTGAACACAGCCGGAAGAGCATCTTGTTCGATCATGTTCATTAATTTGCTTAACTGACCTCTTTTTTGAATTACTTATTTACTAATTGCTGAATTACTGAAATGCATCAACATCATTCTGCTCATATCTGCAGACAGCTGTGATGAACGACTGTGAACTGGTATTCAAACGCGAGCCGTCTAAAAAAGTATAATAGCGAACAAGCTGTGAGGTCGAGGATGGATTAAATCGAAAAAAACCGCTGCTCAAAAGGATTGACTAATAATTTTCGTTATGAATGGCTACCGCAGAGGTTTTATTGCGAGATGTCGGCGAAACCTGTACTTCCGGCCTGTTTCTATGAGCTTGGCAAAAGAGGGGAACATAAACGACTTTGTATTTTGTTCTTTTCATTGGACTAAAGAAAGGTCTCAATGATTGGAAGTGTAAGTTGCTGACGTGAACTTAATGGACTGTTACAAATGACCGTTGCAGTTATTTTACAATTTCTGAATATTGCCTAGGGAAAAGTAGTTTCTTTTAGAAATTCTGACAGAAGTTTTTATTATGCACAGAGTAGGCTGTCCGAATCAGCAAACCTGTCGTTGGCTTGCTCATTTACTGATATCACTGTCACTCCTCGTGAAGCACCTCGTCAAAAGGGCGCTGAGACAAGTACAATGTATGATTATGTATTTTATCTTCAAAGTAAACCAGTAAGTGTATCATCGTCTAAACGTATGCATTTAATGGGTGTGTACAGGTTGTAGGACCGCAACTGCATTCAAAATTCCCCAATTCCAGCTACGTACTGCATATGTGTCTAAATTCACACATAACGGAATCTTTGGGCGCAATGGATTGGGGACTTGCAC